GGGGGGAGATAGGGGGAGATAGGGGGAGAACGAGCCGAAGTCCGAGAGGGCGAGCTGCGCAAGGAACATCGTCGGCACGCCATACAGCGCGCTGCACCGCTCCTCCTGCACCGCCTGCAGCGCCGCGCGCGGGTCGAATGTGCGCGAAGGGAAGACGATGGCGGCGCCGGTGGAGATGCACGCGAGCGAGCCAAGCACGAGGCCGAAGCAGTGGAACAGCGGCACCGGCAGGCAGACGGCGTCGTCCGACGTCAGCCGCATGCCGCGGGCCACAAAACGGCCGTTGTTGACAATGTTGCGGTGTGTCAGTCCGACCGCCTTAGGCAGGCCCGTCGTCCCAGATGTGAACTGGATGTTGGTCACGTCTTCGTGCGACAGCGCCGCCGCCGCCGCCGGTGCGCGGCTTCGTTCCTCGAGCCCGTCGCCGCGCAAGGACGCGGCGGCGAGGCCCTGGTCCCGGCTGCGCTTCCCGCCCTCGAGCACGTCGGCGTAGGCCATTGCCATCGGGTGCTGCAGACTGCTCGCCGCGGCGCGGCTGCAGGGCCCACCAGCGCCGCCCGAGAGTGCGATGACTCGCTCGAGAGAGGGCACGGCCTGCCCACAGCGTGAGGTGTGAAGAGACACTGCCCCACTGCAGAGACGACTCGCTCGAGGCAGGGCGCGGCCTCCTCGGCGGTCTGCAGCAGCCGCTCCACCACTGCTGTGTGGTCGCTCCTCGCGCCGCCGGGGCAGAAGAGCAGCGCCTTGACGCCGGCGAGCCGTAGCGCGTGCTGCAGCTCGGCCAGCTTGTACGCCGGGTTGAGACAGGTCAGGATGGCTCCGATACGAGAGGTCGCGAGCTGCATCACGACGTACTCAGCCACGTTTGGCAGCCAGCAGCCGACACGGTCGCCACTGCCCACACCGATGCTGAGTAGCCCCGCCGCCGCTGTCGCCACCTGCTCCTCCAGCTCATTCCAGCTGTACCGAATACTCTGAGCCGGGCTGGAGAGCGCCAGTCTGTCTGGCGTCCGTCGGACCGTCTCGCAAAACATTCCGTCCACCGTGAGCTCGCTCAGCGGCTCCGAGGTGTCCCCGATCACGTGCGAGAGGCCACCGCGCACCAGCCTGCTCGTCGGGTCGACGGAGGAGGAGGCGGCTGCCGTCTCCCGCAAGCCGTGCATTGCGCGCAGTGCATTACTTGCAAACGCCTCTGACTGAACGCAACGTGCAGGCTGCCTTCGGGCGACTCTGCGCGCACGCAAGGCGGTGCCTCGCCACGGGAGGCGGGACGAGAGCGACTTGCGCATGGCGGATTTTTCGGCGGATTCAGCACACTGGCACACAAAAAGGGGAAGAAAAGAATTTAAACAAGACAACTCTCTCTCACAGCACACAGGTGTGAGTGTGTGTGCTGATCCCACTCAATAACCAACTCTCAGGGGCAGTAGGTGGGCGAGCTTCAGGCACGCTCATCTCGATCGTCAAGACGTCGCTACGCGCGGTCTTCCGCGGGGGGAGCTGCGTCGACGGGTGCGGGACCGCGGCGCAGGCAGTGCCGCGGCGAGGCCTCCGGCTGTTTGCGGCGGGCGGCTTGCTGCTCGCTGCATGGCGAAAAACTCGTCTCGCCACACGCCAAGGGCTTATGCTCTGGCGAGACGTGAGGCGCATGCGCCCAGGAGGGGAGGGGGCATGTGTAGCGACACTGCTAGAGATGCCTTTCGGGGCCCAGAGATAAAACTTCTGTGATGCCATGCGTGACCTAGTAGTGTCCCCAGCTATGGGCGTGTCCACGTTGGAGCCAGGTGTGGTGTGGGCGCGAGAATAGCTCCGCCGTTCATGGAGGCAACCGATGCGAGTCGACTGGTGTGTGTCGTCGTGGTTTCGTATCAAGAATACTCACACAGCACACAGGCTCGACACAGGTGCGAACTGGCGCGTGCTAGTACTATCACCGGCACACCACCGGAGCCGCCTAAGCGACTCCGTTAAGAACGGCAATGCACTCCGCACCATGCACAATGCCGCTGTCCCCGCACGCTAGCTCGTTCACCGTCTGCCACGCCACGGCGGTGTGGAGAACGACAGACAAGCGCTGCATCTGCAGCCCGTGCCAGTTCTTGGTGGTCCATGTGACCTCATCGAGGTGCTGAGCGTGCGAAAGTTTGTTACTCAGCTGGTCCGCCGCCTGCCGAAGAATTCTGCGGACGCCGTCCCCGAAGCCGCCGAACGTCTCGAAGTCGAGCAAACGCAGGTCGCAATTCTTCTCCCGCGCGAACCGGTAGTCGCCCTTCTCGTAGCGGGCCGTCACAGGTGCCCCCGCCTCCGCCTCCCCCTCACTCTCCCCCTCCTCCTTTTCCGCCGCCGCCG